CCACATGATAAAGGTCATATATGAAAAAAACACATAAGTTAACATCATACTCAATGATAAGAAACTAAGAGCTTTTCCTCTAAGATCAGGAAAGATATAAGGATACCCACTTTGGTTGCTTCTATTCAACATGGACTGGAAGTTTCAGCTAGAGCAGTTAGGCAAGAAAAACAAATAAAAGGCATCCAAAATTGGAATGGAAAAAGGGAAAAAGTAAGACTATTTCTATTTGTAGATGACATAATCTTATGTATAGAAAATCCTAAAAAACAAAAATCAAAAATGAGCAAACAAAAAACCCTGTTGGAGCTAATAAACAAGTTCAGCAAAATCGTAGGATATAAAATCAACATACAGAGATCAGCTATATTTCTATACACTAGCAATCCAAAATTTGAATTAAGAAAATAGTTCTTTTGTAATAGTGTCAAAAAGAATAAAATACTTTGGAATAAATTTAACCAAGAAGATAAAAGATTTGTACACTGAAAGCTTAAAACATGACTCGAAGAGAGTAAGGAAGACACAAATAAGTAAAGCCAATGTTCATGGATCAGAAAACTTAATACTGTTAAGATGGCCTTTCTGAACTGCAGATTGGATACACTTCCTATCAAAATCCTAATAGCCTTTTTTTCTCAAGGAAATGAAAAAGCCAGTCCTAAAATTCATATGAAATTGTAATGAACCCCAAAAAACCAAAATAATCTTGAAAAAGAAAAACGAAGTTGTAGGACTCTCACCTCCTGATTTCAAAATTTACTACAAATCTACAGGCATCAAAACAGCTTAAGGATGGACCTACGAATCAGTGCAATACAACTGAGATGAGAGTTCAGATATAAACACATACATCCCATTCATCTATGATCAATTGATTTTTCAACAAGGGTGTCAAGGCTATTCACTGGGGAATATTTTCTTCAACGCACAGTGTTAGAACAACTGGGCATCCACATGCATAACAATGGAGCTGGACCCTTACCCCACACCATATACAATACTTGACTTGAAATGTATCAAAGACCTAAATATACAATCTAAAACTATAAAACTCTTAGAAGAAAATACAGGGGAAAATCTTTGTGACCTTGGATTTGGCATTTGTTTCTTAAATATAACAGCAAAAACTAAAACAACAGATAATTGGATTTCATAAAAATTCAAATATTTTGTGCATCAAAAAATACTATCAAGACAATGAAAAGAAAACTCATAGGAGAAAATGCTCAAAAATCATGTATCTGATAAGGCTCAAATATCCATAATATATAAAGAGTTCTTATAAATCCATTAACAACAAAAAGAACCCATTTTTAAAATTGGCAAAAGAACAGATTATGCAAATGGCCACTAAGCACATGAAAAGAAGCTAGACAACCTTAGTAGCTGGGGAAATGCAACTCAAAAGCACTTTTGACCCCTTGTGCTTCCATTTACATTTTTGTAGAACTTGACGAGTTGATCCTAAACTTTACATGGAAATTCAAAGGGTCAAAAATAGCTCAAAAACTCTGGAAGAAACACAAGGTGAATGGATTTGATCTACTAGATATTATGACTTATAAAATTATAATTAGGATAGTGACGTACTTAAAGCATTGTAGACAAGGGAACAAGGAATGATTATTAGGCCAGTGGCATATAATAGAGAGCCCAGAAAGAGACCTAATTATACACAGATGGTTGATTTTCAATAAAAATGGCATTGAACAATGGAAGAAATACGGCCATTTTGGTGACTAATGTGGACAACTGGGTGGACCTAACAGGAAAGATGAAACTTGGTCACTACCTAACATCATGTACAACATAAAGTCCAGGTCTATATCTGGAACATGAAATAATGAAGCTTTGGGAGGTAAATGAAGGGAGACATTGCCCATATATTATATTGTCATCTTATGCAAGAGACAAAAAGATAGGAAAATATTGATACTTTTGACCCTACTAATATCAAAACTGTTGTCTCCATATGTTCACCAACTCTAAACTATTCACAGCTTTTTCTCTGTCCCTACCAGTTCCCCACTTTGAAATACCCATTTCAAAGCAATTGAGCCCTTACCCCAAATCCCTAACATCCCTTTTTGAGTCATTACCCGACTGCCAGCTGATGGACTTGCTACAGGTTTGATGACTCGGCTTTGTGGGTCCACAGGTTTCCTCGCTGATCTTGGGTGGGGGAGGGGCAGGGGTAACAATTGAAATCCTTATCTTTTTTAGACATATGCTGAAATCCTCATAGAGGAGATGATACAATTTCTGAGATCTGTTCCAAAATTAATTGAAAAGACAGAGAAAGTAGATGGGATGCGTAAGATTGGTCATGAATTGTTGATGCTGCATTATGGGAGTTCATTATGCTGTTCTGCCCACGTTCATACGTTTCTAATTCTCTACAATAATAATAAAGTTATTTTTCATTTTCTAGTCCTTAAGAGGGGAATGTTCATTAAGGTCACATAAGGTTGCGCTGTTACTGGGGGGGCTCCTGTCCCAAAGCGCCCAGCCGAAGGCCACCTAACCCACCCTGGAGTTGGCAGTTCTGTGCTGATGGAAGCCGGAGGAAAGCAGAGAGGCTGTAGATTTGGGGGAAATAATTCTTTTCAACATCATCTGGCAACCACCATTGATGCAGAACAAGACTACATACAAGTAGCTTAAATCTGACACCTAAAGCCTGGATACAACAGAAAAAGCAGTAGAGAATATTTTCTGTTCTCCCCTTATTCAGAGGATGAAACTGTCACGCTGAGCTAGCTTTTTACTTGTGTTCAGAATGAGCTTCCTCCTGCATCCTACTCTGGAAAAATTAGAACCTGGACCCTGAAATTGGCCATTATCAGGGGCCCCCCACACACACAGAGTGATGTCCGATTTGAGATTTTGAGTAGTGATTCATTTATTGTTTGAGTAGCTATTCGTTATTCATAAGTTGACTTTTCTGTGTCTGTAATGAGGACACAGTTCAGGGTCACGTCCTGGGAACCCGCAGGGCTCTTGCTAAAATCTATGGGTTGAAAGTGGCATTTTGTCCTGGTAGCTTGTATCACGTGTTGTTTCAAATAGAGTTAAATTGGGAGGGCAAGAGGTGGGCTGCACAGTGTCCCTTTGGTCATCTCTCCTGGTTGTGGTCACCCATTGGAACACGGTTCCCATGAGCACGTTCTAGGCACACCAGAGAAACCCAGCCATACCTAGTCTGACCTGTCCACATTTCAGCACAACCACCACACTGATGAGGCAGCCGCTGAGTGCATGCGCGAGGACACGGGCAGGGGGCTGTCTTTGCAGAAATTCTGAGTAATTGAGACAGTGACGAGCTGAAGGCAGTTACAGCACTCTATGTGACAAGGACATGCAGGACACGCCCTGCTGGCATCCTCACTCAGGATTTGCTGCATCCTTGTCTACCCCCTTGTACTAGTGACAGCTTGTGACCTCGTGTAGATATGACCGACGCAGGGGAGCAGGAGGGGGTTCATCACACAAATCTATGTGTGTGTCAAAAATTCACTTTTTACTGTATGTGAATTTCACTATATGTTGATTTTTTTAAAGTCAAATTTTACTGCATGCAAGTTTTTTTTTAACTAGGGAGATTTTTCTTATCAAGATCTGCCTGGATATGTAAGTGTGAGAAATTGGATCGTTAATACATAGAATCTGGATGTTCCCATGAGTATAATTAATCAGTCAATGGCGTTAAAGTATAGGGGATTTTAATCTGCTTATTTTCATAAAAACACGTCACAGCAGCTGTTTAAAAATACATGTAAAGAATACACCCATGAGATCCCATCGCACTGTACCCATGAGAGTGGCCCAAATCCAGAACATTGACACCCGGAATGCTGGCGAGGACGAGGCGCGGCAGGGACCCCCACTCGCCGCGGGCGGGAATGCAGGTGGCGTAGCTGCGTCGGAAGACAGTTTGGAGGTTTCTTAAAATAAACATACTCTTACCAACAACTCAGCAATCCCACCCCTTGGTTATTTACCCAAAGAAATTGATAACTTATGTCCACACAAAACCCCATACACGGATGTTTACAGCAGATTTATCCGTAACGGCCCAAACCTGGAAGCAACCAAGGCGTCCTTCACGGGTGACGGACGGACTGTGGGCCATCCAGGCGCTGGGTGTTATTCGGCACCAAAGAGAAACGCGCCATCGGGCCAGGAGAACACACGAGGGCCCTCACACGCACAGGACCACGGGGGGAAGCCGACCTGGGAAGGCCACACGCTGTGTGAGCCCCTCTGTGACACTCTGGAAAAGGCGACAGTATGGAGACCGTGAAGGCCCGGGGATGAGGGGAGGAAGGGGTGCACAGGAGGAGCCCCGGGGATTTGTAGGGCAGCGGAACTTCTTTATGGTACTTCAACGATGGATCCGGGTCATTACACATTTGTCCAGACCCAGGGGTGTGTACCAAGACGAGCCCTAGTGTAAATTACAGATTTAGTTAACAATTATCAAAAGTAACAAACGTACCATACCGACCCACGTGTTAGGAATAAGGGAGGCTGGGTGTGGGAGCCCCTACTTTCCGCTGGATTTTACTGTGAATCTTAAACTGCTTTAAAAAAGAGTCTTACTGATTATGAACACAAGAACTACTAGTTTCTAACTTCATTTACTAGATTTGTAATTTATGCTTGAGGGTTTTGTGAGCGCTGGTTCTAAAAAGCCCTACTTAAAGCTCTACCCATTAAGCAGGCCTGACCAGCTGCCCGCTCCCCCGCGCCCCCCAGCTCATCCCGGCCTGAGGTCGGCCTCCCCGCCCGCCGCTGCGCCCCCTGGGCTCCGGGCGCCTCCGCGGCCGCCCAGCCCGGGTCCTCGACGGGCTCGCCCCGCGCGGCTGCACTCTGCCTCCGAGTGCGCTCGTCGGGGCTCCGAGGCGTTGCGCGCGCTGTACCCGCGACGGCCGGTCCGCCGCCCCCGGCCGCCCCGGGCCCCAGCCGCGCCGGAGCGCCCCCGACCCGCGCAGGGGCGCCGACGAGGCGACGGGGGCGGGCGGCCAGCGGGGCGACAGCTGGGGGGGCGGCCCTGACCTTCCTGCGAGATCGATGGGGCGCAGCCGGGCTGCGCGTTGCGCCCCCGGCCCGCCCCTCCTGGGCGCGCTATAAATGGGGCGGCGGCGGGCCGGTGGCCGTGGCGCTCAGCACCCGCCCAGCCCCCGCCGCGCCCACCATGGCCGCCGGACCCTTCCTGCTGTTGCCGTTGCTCCTCCTGCCAGGCTCCGCTGCACGCCCCGCCGCCCCCAGGTGAGCCCGCGATCCCGTGCCCACGCCCACCCCTCGGGTCCACCGCCCCCGGGCCGGCCTGACCCTGACCCATCCCTTCCCAGGGCCCCTAGGCACTCCGACGGGACGTTCACGAGTGAGCTCAGCCGCCTGCGGGAGCGCGCGCAGCTGCAGCGGCTGCTCCAGGGCCTGGTGGGGAAGCGCAGGTGAGGGGCTGCCCCCTGAGAGCACGTGGGGCGGGGGCTCCACCGAAGTGGGGACGCGCATAGCTGTGCCCACCCCCATCTCCAGGGCTAATTCTGACTTGGGGTTCGGGGGCAGTGATCAGGACACAGAGAACAGCACCGCCTGGACCAAGGCTGCCCAGGGCCGCTCCTGCCTGCTGTGGTCAGAGGTGCCTGCCCCGCAGGCCTGGTGAGCACCACTGGGAGCTCTCCCCTAGGCCCTTCTGGTCCCTTTGGGCACTTGGGTTGTGGGGACTGCACCCAGCAGTGGGACAGGGGGCCGGGAAGGTGAAACTGAGTCCGCTGGTGACGAGAGAGGGCCGTTTCACCTGCTGGGCAGGGGTCAGTAGCCCCTGACCTGGCTGCTGTCTCTGCAGGATTCCCTTGAGGGACCACCTGCAGCAGGCCTGGTCTCCCCCACTGCCGCCACGACTGAGCTCTGGGGCAATGGTTTCAGAGCCAGCCAGCCCTGCTGCAGGGACCCAGATGAGGCCCTGATGAAGAAGGCACCTTGCCCCCACCGATGTGGAGCAGAGCCGAGCTTGGACGGGCAGGTGGAGGGGTTGTGGGGTTGCGGGGTTGCACTTGGCGGCAATAAAGGAGAAATTGAGACCCTGGCCTGAGCCCCCTTCTGTGCGCCATCTTGGTATCATCGAGGCAGGCCCTGCTGGGCAGGGCTGTCACAAGGAAGGAGGGCCCTATCCAGCAGATTCAGATTCTAGGCCGGTGGCCACACCCAGCTGCCCTTTACACCTGGGCAGCCATGGGCCGCCCCACCTTCCTGTTTCCCTATCTCTGACATCAGGGCCACTCCTGTCCCATCAACTGAGCCTCCCAGAGTCCCACCCACACCCCTTGTCATCCACTCAGCAAACATTCTGGGGGGGGTTGCTGGGTAAGAAGGCACAGCCTGGGCAGGGAGAGGTGACAGGCAGTGGGTGTCACCCAGGCCAGGTGCCATCCTGGAGTCAGAGGGCTGCAGTGCACATCTTGGCTCCCGGCCAGGCTGTGCCGTCTTGGACAAGTGGCTTGATCACTCTGTCCTGGGAACTTTGATGCCCCAGCGCTGGAGGGTTGCTGGAGGCTGTGTGGCCACCACCAGCAGACACACAACTGCCCTGTCACCTGTAGAGAAGCCAGGAGCTTCGGGAGGGCATTTCAGCACGTGGGGTGGCAGAGTAGAGCCCTGGAGGTGGGAAGGGCCACCCCATGGCCACAACAGCCCCTCCCTCCATCCTCACCCCACCCAAGGCCCTCTCCCCAGCTGCTGAAGGCTTGGGAGGCCAAGGGAGGATGGGGGAGGGCAGTTGGCGACCTGGGTTGAGGAACCTCACCAGAACTCTCTGTGGGGCCCCAGAGCCAGTGGGGACCTAGGATCCCTAAGGAGCTCCCAGCTGTCCTGGGCAGAGTGGGGACAGGTTGGGAGTGGGAGCAGCTAACGTGGCTGCTGCAGCCACACAATTGCTCCAGTCCCCGCCCCGGCCCAGGGGCCCCAGCACTCCCTGAGCTCCTTTGGCCAGTCTTGCTGTCCACGGGCTGGGCCCCGCCGGCCTCCGCATGGTGCCCCATTCCGGGCAGTAGGCTAGGCCTGGCTGGCGGCCGGCGGGAGCCCCCTTGGTGGTGGCCAGTCGGTCGTAAAGGATCATAAAGTGGGGCGGTGCCTGGCAGGGGCGAAGGTCGCCGGCGGAGACTGCGCCAGTGCAACCGGCTGCTCCAAGGGTCCCGGATGCCAGGCGGGCTCAGAGCCTCCCGCCGGCTGATGGCCACCGAGATGGGAGCTTGGGCGCTGCTGCTCCCTCTGGTCACGACGCTGGCTCAGGCCCAGGGTACCTACAGGTGCGGCAGGGGGGCTGGGCGGCAGCAGGAGGTTGGAGGCACCTGCTGATGGCTTCCTATTTTCTAGTCTGCTCTGTAAACAACTCCAACTTTGAAATCAAGGAGAACACGTATCTCAGCCAGCCCCTGGTCGACATCTATATCCCTGAGGGCCAGCAGGTGACCCTTGGACCCTCGTCCACCCCCTTGGCATTTCGGATCCAGGGGACCCAGCTGTTTCTTAACGTCACTCCTGACTATGAGGTACAGGTGGCAGGCCTGGGTGGGGCGTGCCCATGACGGCAGCTGGGGTGCCTCACCCCCAGGGGACCCATGTGGGCACCACACTCTTCCCTGGAGAAGGGCTCTCCCGGGGCCTCTGGGGCTCAGTGGGCTCTGCATGCCCCAGGCAGTGACCCCAAGGCTTGGCTGAGGCTGGCCGTGAGGGGGGCAGGGGATGAAGCTGGCTGGGCCCAATGCTTTCTGGACTTAGTGCAGATGACAGGGATGCTAGGCCAGCACCTGCCCCTCTTGGCCTCAGTGCCCTCACCTGTGGAATGGGGACAATGTGCTGTGACCAGTTGGGTGGGCAGCTCCCAGCAACCATGCCCCCACAGGAGGCCACCTTGCTGCAGGCGCATCTGGAGTGCAGGAGAGGTGATGTGGTGGTGAGTCTCCCCCACCCCAGGTGCCCCATCCCCACCTGCACCCCTGTGGCAGAGTGCTCCGGGTGTGGAGTTCTGCTCACTGGGTCACCCTGTGCTGGTGATGCTCAGACTCTGCCCTGAGCTGCAGACTCGCAAACCCAGCCCTGACCAGACAGCACACCCCAACACACACCCCAGCCTGGGGTCCCCCGTGGGAGGCACCCCACCCTACCAGCTTGGTCCTTGCCTTCCTGCCTCTTCCTGTCCCCCCACCAGCAAATTTGCTTCAAGCTAGACACTCCTCACCTCTGTGCCCAACCTGGGCCTCGGCCACCAGCACCTCCTTTCTGGAACCTCCCAAGAGGTTGCTCCCCTCTGGGTCCTGACCCCAACTCGCTCTCAGTGTGGTTGAAGACAAGCCACACATCCCAGCCCAGAGCGCACACGGTCGCAGCTGATGCCTGTTGGGTGAGGCCTCTCCTCGACCTGGGCCCGCCCTCACACGGGCCTCCGCAGGGTGAGGCCTCAGCCACCCGTCCCAGGCCGCAGGCTGCACCTGCCAGCTCAGCAGGCCACCACAGGCACCTCAGGATGAGACTGCCAGAGCCTTTCTTCTTAAACAGCCTGACGTTGCTGTCATACCTGAGAAGCGCAGGCAGCTCGGCATCCCCACGTTCACAGGGGCTTTAGTTCACCTGAACCAAGATCCGAGCAAGGCCCACAGGATGCCGCTGGCCGATGTTTCTCTTGTCTCTTCACCTATGGCTCCCTTCCTTTTATTCTCCCTTTGACTTTGTTTTTGAGGAAGTCTGATGCCATTTTCTTCATTTGGGATTTTGCTGGTCACACCCCCAGCCTCAGGCCAGGGCACGTGCCACCTTGGGCACCTCACAAACTGCTCTGTGCTCCTCGTCCATCAGCCCTGCTGGAGTGGCAGCCCAGGGCAGACAGCTCTGACTTGGGAACCACATGCCAGCATGGCTGCGGGCTGGGGCCCTCAGAGTATGCCTCTGCCGGGCAGGATCCCACAGGGATAAGGCTACCCACTGCTCTGCCCCCAGGTCACCCAGCTGAGGGTGTTTGTGTTCGTGCTGGACGTCAATGACAACCCGCCCATGTTCCCCTTTGTGACCAAGGTCAAGGAGGTGCCGGAAGTGAGTGTGAGGGAAGCCTGGGCTGGTGCCCTCTGATCTGGGTCTGGGGCATCAGGAGCCCAGGGTAGAGGCCAGAAGGCAGGGGACTAGTGCCCAGGGACTCGACCAGTGATCCGTCCATGGGAGTCAGGAGTGTGGCCAGACCAACAGCTCTCCATCCCAGGACACTAAAGTGAATGCCATCGTCATCCCTGAGACGGAACTGCAGGCCAAGGATCTTGACAAAGATGACATCTTGTTCTACTCCCTCCAGGAAGTGACCCCGGTTGGTGACCCCAGCCCCTGCACCAACTCTGACCCCTCCTTTTGGGTGTCCCCGCCTCCCTGCATCCTCCCAGGGTCTCAGGCTGAGTCCCCACCTCCTTAGGGTGCCAGCAGCCTCTTCTCCTTGGTTGGTGTGAACCGCCCCGCCCTGCGGCTGGACCAGCCCCTGGACTTCTACAAGTGGCAGAACGTGACCTTCCAGCTGCTGGTGCGGGTGAGTGGGCCGCTCCCGGCTCGGCCAGAGCTCGGCCCCCGCCCAGGGCACAGAGGCCTCATCTGGCTGCCCGGCTGTTGCAGGACACACAGGAGGAGGGTGCGGAGCCCAGCCACACGGCCACAGCCACCTTGGTCCTGGAGGTGCAGCCTGCCGACCTGCGGCCCCCCTGGTTCCTGCCCTGCGCCTATGCAGATTCCGAAGTTTGCGTCCAAGCCCAGTACCACGGGGCTGTCCCCACCGGCCACCGACTGGTACTGGGGATGGGAGGGGCAGTGTCAGCACTGGGTGGGGGCAAGGAGCTGGGTGCCCTGGGACCAAATTTGGTTATTATTTTCAAACAAATGAGAACATTCTCCCTAAACTGCTCTTGCCCAACCCATGGTGGTGAGTGGTAAGCAAACCCCTCTGGAATTACAGCCCAGGGACGACCCTGCAGAGACCCAGTGAGGCAGGCTGGGAGGCTGGAAGCACTGGAGGGGACTTGACAGGGTTCCCGAGGAGCAGCTGGCCCTCTGACTGGCTGACTGTCCCCTGGAGGGTCTCACAAGTTGCACTGAGGCACCAGAGGGCAGTGGGGCTGCCAGGGCCTCCCGCCATACGTGACTCTGTAGACTCTCCCCAGGCCACGTGTATGCTTGTTGAGACATGATGTTCAGATCCATCAAATGTCTTTGGGCAAACTGACTCATTAGCAACAGAGCCAAAGGGAGTGGCCATGCCAGACAACAGGACTGCCCATCTGGGGGGGCTTTTCAAATCTTGAGGGGGAGTGGATGGGCCGAGCTGGGGCCTTGGCAGCAGCCCGTGGCATCCCCTCATCTCCGGTCTCCACAGCCGGCCCCCCTCACCCTGCGCCCTGGGCCCATCTATGCTGTGGATGGGGACCGGGGCATTGGCCAGCACATCACCTACAGCATCATGGAGGGTGAGTGCCAGCCCCTCAGTTATTTCCACGTGGCCCCCGGGCCCCATCCCAAAGCCTGGGCCAAGGAAGCCCCAGGGGGCCCCACCCTGTGGTCCAGAGAGGACCTGAGGCCAAACTCTCATGCCATCTTCCCAGGACAAAATGATGGCACGTTCAGCATCGATTCTGACTCCGGCAACCTCACCATGACCAGAAGTGTCCCCAGCCCCAAGACCTTCCTTCTGCTGGTCAAGGTGGGTCCCCTGGCCAAGTCTCCATGGGCCTTCCTGAGCCCCAGGCTGCAGGGCTCACCCTTTGAGGACCTGCTGGTCACTGCTGCCTCCCTGACCCCCAGGGTGACCAGATGGACCATGCCCGCTACTCAGTGACCCAGGTCACGATGGTGGCCCGAGATGCCAACGGGAGCCTGCCCCACTTCTCCCAGAGCCTGTACCGAGGCACTGTGGTGCTGGGCTCTGGCGTGGGTGTGCTGGTCAAGGATGCCGCCGACCCCTCCCAACCTCTGAGGGTCTGGGCCCAGGACCCTGAATTCCCGGTAGGCCTGGACCGGTCCCTAGGTCTGTCTGGCTGCCCCTCCACTGTGCATGGGGCGTATCTGGGGAGAGCCTGGGCCCAGGACTCACCAGGGTTGTGTCCAGGACCTCAACTCAGCCATCATCTATCGAGTCACCAACAATACCTACTTCCAGATGGATGGGGAGGCCATGAAGACGGCCACCCCACTGGTGCAGGAGGGAGTCTTCTATGCTGAGGTGAGCATGGCATCTCCAAGGGAGGGGGTTTGAGCTAGGCCTAGGAGGACATGCCCCCTTCCCACTCCAGGTTGAGGCCTACAACACAGTGACTTCAGGGACAGATTCCACAACGGTGGAGATACAGGTCTCAGAGCAGAGGGAGACCACCCCGGCAGGTGAGCGGCCAGGGACCAGGGAGGGCTCTTGCCACAGGTAGGGCGGTGCCTCTCTGGGCCGGGCAAGCTGGGGGCAGAGGCAAGCCCAAAGCCTGTACCTGGCCCCCAGGGCCCCCAACTCCCCCAGAGGCTGGAGGAACCCGGCCCACAAGCAGCACCACTCCAGAAGCCCCGAGGCCCCCAGGGCCCTCTCAGAGACCCTCCACGACCACCTCTGGGGGGGGCACCGGCCTGTACCCTCCCTCAGGCACAACTCTGAGGCCTCCTGCTTCGTCCAAGCCCGGGGGGCCCCCCAGTGCGGGAACCAGCACCTCCCCCACACCAGCATCACCCAGTGGGAGCTCAACACAGACCCTGACCCTGAAGCCGGGAACCTTTCAGCCATCGCCCCCTGAGCCCAGTAGGACCCCCACACCCTCAGGTAGCACACCCGTTTGCCCTAGGGTCGCCCTTGTGCCCCCGAGCCATGACTCTGGGTGGTCCTGGGCATCACTGTAGGACAGGGGCCCCCCCAGCCTGGCCCAGCCAATCCCAAGCAGGGGTGTACCTGGTCTGGGGGGAGACAGACAGGTCCTGGGAGCCCCCAACGAAGTACACTGGGGAAGGTGTGTAGAGGGCACGTAGAGGCCAGATCTGGGGTCCAGTGAGCCCCTAATTCCCAGGTTACTCCCTCCACTCAGCTCCCTAGAGTGTTGGACCCCTGCTTCCCTGGCCCTAGTGGGCAATGAGCCGCATCCCCCTCCCTCCCTTCAGCAGCCTGGCCTCCCAGGGTCCCAGGACATACAGCTTCTTAGCTGGGGGTCCAGTAGTGCCCACCACAGAACCTCGGCTGTGGGGGGCGGCCAGGCCTGGCTTGTTCTCGGGGTGTTCCAAGCCAGGTGCCAGGGTGCATTAAGTGCTGTGCCGTGGTGCTAATGGTAGGGGTGCCTGTGTTGCAGGGGTGCCTAGGACCAGCACTGCAGGGCAAGGTGATCCGGGAGGCAGCCCTGCTGGGGACAAGCGCTTCTCCGTGGTGGAGATGGGGGTCCTGGGCGGGGTGCTGGGCGCACTGCTGCTTCTGGCTCTGATCGCCCTCACAGTCCTCATCCACAAGCACTACGGCCACCGACTCAAGTGCTGCTCTGGCAAAGCCCTGGTAAGGCTCTGGGGGTTGGGGACAGGAGAGGGTCAGACAGGGCAGGAGAGCAGCGACAGTGCGGCTAAGATAAGACAGACAAGGGGCTGAGAATGGAGTCAGGGAAAGACGGAGGTGGGGGGGCAGCTGATGGCGAGGAAGAGGGGGTTGGAGGGAAGGAGTGGGGGGGTGCAGGGGGAGGTTAGGTGGGGGCTTAGTAGGGGGGAGATGGGGAGGAGTGGAGAGGGAGAGGGGTGGCAGGGAGGGTGGAAGCTCAGAAATCAGCAATCAGCTGGACTATGGAAAGCAGAGGTATGGAGAGAAGGGACGTCGATGCCATAGTCCAGAAGATGGAGAGGCAGACGGGCGAAAGGGGAGGGGCGGGTGGATCCCGGTCTCGGGAGGTAAAGGGGTGGGTTCGGCCCAGGCCTGGTTGATGCCCTGGTTCCCCTGCCTCCTCCCCAGGAGCCCCAGACCCGCGGCTTTGACAACCAGGCCTTCCTAGCCCACCAGGAGGCCAACTGGGCACCGGCTCCCAGCCCCCCACCCGGCCCCACCCAGGCCCCGCCCGCGGACCCCGCGCCTCCCTCGCCCTCCGGCTCGGTGCGCCCAGGCCCTTCCCTCGAGTCCCCTGGAGCGGCCCGGGATGCGGACGGCCCGGCCGCCGTGAGGTCCATCCTGACCAAGGAGCGGCGGCCCGAGGGCGGCTACAAGGCCGTGTGGTTCGGCGAGGACATCGGGGCCGAGGCCGACGTGGTGGTCCTCAACGCGCCCGGCTCGGACGCACACGGCGCCGGCGACTCCGGCAGCGACTGCAGCCGCGAGGACGAGGACGCGGATGGGCGCCACAGCGGGGATGCCCTGGACGACGCCTTGGGCGCGGGCTCCACCTACGTCTAGCGCGGCTCCCCGCCTCCCCACGGCGGGCGGGTCTGCTGGGAGTCGCTGGGCTGCGGACCCCCAACTCCTCTGTGCAGAATAAAGCGGCCCTTCGGAACCCCGGGCTGGCGTGGCGGCGGGGCGCGGCGGGGGCCGGGACGCGCAGGTCCGCGCCATGTGGCCCATCCTGTCTAGCCCAGGCCAAGTCCGCGGCCGCGCGGGGGCCGAGGGCGGGTGGGCGGCTGCTGCCCAGGGCGCCATTTCCCGTAAACCGCGAGCTGCACCCGCCGGCCACGGGGCTTTCCAGGCTCCGTGCCAGCTGGCAGCTGGGAAGTTCCTCTCCTGGGCCAACCGCGGTCCGACGGGCTGCAGGAGGGTCTCGCCTGGGGAGGCTGAGGCATCCGCCTCGCCAGCAGCCATCTCAGGAAGCCTCCTCCTCTAGGAGGGCCTGGTCCGGGGACCTCCGGGGTCACAGCCTGTGGGCCTTGGGCCCAAGACTGGGGGAACCAGGGCCATGGAGGGGGGTCCGACCACCGGCTTCCTCAAGGCCAGGCCTCAGGCCGGACTTCCTCTCTGGCCACCACTGTCCCTTATGAGTCATCGGCGTTGTTTCTAAAGAAAAGGCATCTTAATTCCCTTACAAAGTTTTAATCTTGAGGGTCCTTGGGTCTCCTTACTGATCGATTCTCATTGTGCATAATTCAAACGGTAGAGACCGCTCACCCTAAGCCCTTCCCCACTAGCTCACTTCAACGCGCAAAAAGTAGTGGGTTTTGTGTGGGCTCCCAGCTTAATGAACTGCCTTGCCCGCCCCGGGTCCCTGGCGCCCCAGTCCCCGGCGCGCGCGCGCACACACGCGCACACACGCGCACACACGCGCACACACACACACACACACGCAGCCGCGTCCCACAACACCGGGGACTGCGCTTGAGCGCCGGGAACCACACGTGACTTCCTGGGCTGCACGCGGGGCCTGCGGACCCGGTCCGCCCCCGCCCCGCCCCGCCCCGTCGCGTCGCCTGCATAAGAGCGTCCGCTCCCACCTCCCGGTTAGACGAACCCTCCCGCCCCGGCCTTCAGGTACTCGGGACCTGGCCCGCCCGGTGCGGGGGCAGCCGCCGCGGGTCGGCGTTCCTCGTTGGGCAGAGCAGTGAGCGGGCTGGGGCCAAGGGTGCGGGCGGAGCGGATTGGGCTGCCGGGAGGCCGGTGTCGGGTCGCCCTGGGGCGCGCGGTCGGCCTGGGAGCACGGACGTCCCGCCCCGCGGCCTAGGTTTCGCTTTCCTGGAGCCTGGGAGGTTCTTGACGTTCTGACACACCTGAGCCACGCCCATCGCCATCTCTGCCAGGGAATCCATACCTAGGCAACGGTGTCGCCTCACCCCCCAACCCACATCTGTGACCCCGACATCTGGCCACACGTTACCTGTGGTGACAGAACCCTTCTCAACTCCGTTAACACGTGAGTGCCACCCAGGATCACACCTCCCCCCAGCAGAGGGCCGCACTGCCTCTTCGCTCCGGATCTTGCAGAGGGAGCGATAGCCATGGCTCCAGAAAGGTGAGCGCCTGGCCCACACTCCCTGGCTGCCCGACCCCACGCACCTTGCCAGCACCTGCGGCCCGCTTGCCCTGACCTGCCGGCTGCTCTGCGGCAGGGGAGCCCCACGCGTGCTCTTTGGAGACTGGCTTCTGGGCGAGGTCAGCAGCGGCCGCTACGAGGGCCTGCGGTGGCTGGATGCGGCCCGCACATGCTTCCGTGTGCCCTGGAAGCACTTCGCACGCAAGGACCTGGGCGAGGCCGACTCTCGTATCTTCAAGGTGGGATCCTAGACTGCCCCTGGTGACAGGGCCTGGCTCGTGGCTCCATCCCCCAGCCCATTCCCTCCGTTGTCCTTCCAGGCTTGGGCTGTGGCCCGTGGCAGGTGGCCGCAGCCCAGTGGGAGCGGAGAGGACCAGCTGACCCCTGAGGGCGCGCTCCGGGCGGGCTGGAAAACCAACTTCCGCTGTGCACTACGCAGCACCAAGCGTTTCGTGATGCTGCAGGACAACTCCGGGGACCCCACCGACCCGCATAAGGTGTACACGCTCAGCTCGGAGCAGAGGTGCAGAGGTGAGGACTGCCAGGGAGGTGGTGGCTAGGGCAGAGGAACAGGCTGAGGGCTGCGAGGAGGCGGGGCAGCCTCTGGCCAGCCCTGCTGTTTCAGTTAGCTGGTGCCAGGCCATGGGGGAGAAGCTCCTCGATGGAGCCCATGGGGCCCGGTGAAGGGGAGGCAGCCCAGCTTTTGGGACTCCAGGGACTCACGTCCAGGTGTCCCACCCCAGAGCCTATGGTCCCAATATCCCCTCTACCCCAATTCTCCCTCAGGAGGTCCAGGCAGTAACCAGATGGCAGAAGAGGCCCTTGAAGATGCCCCACCCATCACTGTAAGCTCACCCTGCCCCCTTCTCTCCTGGGGAGGATCTCACCACTCACTGGGGGCTACTTAATGCTGGCACTATGTTCCCCACAGGGTGGGCACTCCAGGCCATGCCTGGCAGGACGGGCTGGTGAGAGATCTGGGCCGGGGCTGAGTCCTGAGCCCTGGCCCCTGAGCGTTTCCTGCCCATCTGGCGATGCTGGAGACCTCTTGCTCCAGGCTCTGCAGCAGAGCTGCCTGGAGGACCATGTGCTGGAAGCTGCATGTGGAGTGGACCCAGCCCCCCCAGAGGCTCCTGGTGAGGAGCTGGGCTGGGGGGGTACTCTGCCCTGTGGAGCATTCAGGACGAGAGAGGCCCCAGAGGGACGGGGGCTCGGGGTGGGTGCGCCCGGAGGAATGGTGCTGGACACAGCTGGGTTGGCAGGGCTGTTCCCACTGCTGTCTCCTCCTCTTCCTCAGGCCCAGGGCTCCCTGCCAGGGAGCTGCACTCGCCACGGGCAGGGGAGGGCCCCAGGCCACAGCCCCAGGCCCTGCACCAGGACCAGATGACAGGTGAGCAGAGCCAAGGGGTATGTGGAGGAGAGCCAGGAGACCAGGTCCAAGATCAGGCCTTCTTCCCAGATACAGGTCCAGCCCCTGCTCTGGAGCCCCAGCAGCCCCCACAAGAGGTGGAGCCCTGCACCACACCAGGTGCCCCTGCAGCAGCTGAGCAGGGCCTGGCTGGGCCCAGCTGCCTACAGCTTGGTCTGCATGCACAGCCCAGCCTTGGGGCCCTGGACGTGACCATCATGTACAAGGGCCGGACAGTGCTGCAGGAGGTGGTGGGGCGCCCGAGCTGTATGTTCCTGTACGGGCCCCCCAGCCTGGCTCCTGAGGCCATGGAGCCCCAGCCTGTGGCCTTCCCCAGCCCTGCTGAACTCCCTGACCAGAAGCAGCTTCACTACACAGAGAAGCTGCTGCAGCACGTGGCCCCCGGCCTACAGCTGGAGCTCCGGGGGCCCGGGCTGTGGGCCAGGCGCCTGGGCAAGTGCAAGGTCTACTGGGAGGTGGGTGGCCCCCTGGGCTCTACCAGCCCCTCCACCCCTGCCCGCCTGCTGCAAAGGAACCAGGACACCCCCATCTTTGACTTCAGCACCTTCTTCCAAGGTCAGTAATGCACCTGTGCCAGGGCCAACACCATTCCATTCCCCACCCACCCCCACTTACTAGAGCCCCCTCCTGCAGAGCTGGGGGAGTTCCAGGCTCGCCGACGCCAGTGCTCCCCCCACTACACCATCTACCTGGGCTTTGGGCAGGACCTGCCGGTTGGGAGGCCCAAGGAGAAAAGCCTGGTCCTGGTGAAGGTAAGCTGCAGGGTCCCTTGGGGGTAGGCCTTGCGTAGCCCCCCACCTGGCCTGACCAAGCCTTCCCCACAGCTGGAGCCATGGCTGTGCCGGGCATACCTGGAGGGTGTGCAGCGCGAAGGAGCTTCCTCCCTGGACAGTGGCAGCCTCAGCCTCTGCCTATCCAGCTCCAACAGCCTGTTTGAGGACCTGGAGCACTTCCTCATGGAGGTGGAGCCTGCCTAGGGCCAGACCACATGCCCCCATCCAATAAAAATAACCCAAGATCCGGTGCTCATGTCTGACAAGGGTGGGCTCAGGAGGAGCACTTGGGCTGTGAGACTCACCGCCCAACACCCCAGTCCCAGGAGCCCCAGTCCTCCCACGCACACGCACTTTATTGTCTTCACAGTGAAGTGGCTCCAGCCGTACCCCTTAGAGCCAATGAACTGCTCAAAGAACAGAGCAAAGTTTGCTCTGGCCAAGCATGCTGGGGAGGTGGCCCCTGGGGTTCCCCAGTCATGAACAGGGGGACTCTGCTGTGCTCAGGGCTCCCTGGCCTTGGACACCTGCCAACAGTGTGCTCTGCTCAGAGGAGGTGGTGCAGTTGAGCATTATTTACAGAACAAAAGGAATAAAGAATCAGGGCAGGGCCTCTTGTTATAGAAAACAAGGCCTGACTGAGATGGACCAAGGAGCCCCAGCCACCCCCCAGAGGCCCCTCCTGATCACAGGATTTCCCTTTCAAGTACTGAGCCAGTCGAGAAGCTTCTACAGATAATTCATTTTTGATAAATTAGAACACAATGGCAAGTGTGTGTTTCTACAGCGTACATATAAAAAGTCCAGTTCTAACCTGAGTAGGACAGGTGCACAGGCCACGTGTGGCGCAGGAACCCTGAGAGGAGTGTGGGTCCCCAGTGTCCCGCCACCTGCCCCTCAGAGGCATCCAGCCCTCAGCCCTCAGCACCCTGAGCGGGCGGCCCCTCCCCGGCACCAGACCTCCTGTGTCTGCGCATGTGCCTGTACTTGTCCACGTAGGCCTTCACCAGGTTGTTCACCTTCACAGGGTTGATCTCCCCGCTCTTGCTGTGGCAGATCTGGAGGGGATAGCGACAGTCACCCAGATGTCCCTCTCAGTGACCAAGCCCTGGGGGCCCGCATCAAGAGGGACAGGGCCCTAACAGGGCTGCCAATGGTCCCACTGAAGACAGCACCCTGAAGAGGACCTGAGCCCAGGGGCCTGAGGCTGTCCCAGCAACCAGTCTTGCTCCCTCACTGTAAGCAGGGTGTGTGAGGAGCTTCTCTGTTGCTTACTAAGCCCCTCAGTGTCTAGGAGGTGCACTACAGGGGGACAGGACTGGCCTGAGGCTGCAGCCAGGACGTGACATCACTGCCCCTGACCTGGTCTGAGCTCGCAGACCCCCTAAAAGTCCTTGCCAACGAGAGCCAGCATGGGCCGCCCGTGAGACCCACAGCTGGGTTGGGGCGCACTCACCTTTTGCACGGCCTTGCGAAGGATGTCTTTGTACTCGGCCTTGGTCACCTCCCTCTTCTGGTAGAAGGGCTTGATGGCCAGCTTCACCTCCTCCACTGCCCGCTCCTGCATGTGCAGCTTCTTCATGTACTAGGACCCAAGGCACGTGCGTGAGCCTGCTGCTGGGGGGCTGCACAGCCGGGCAGAGCTGGGAGGGCCCCTGGGCAGCACGGCTCACTCTGCAGCTCACCTCCTCGTTCTTGGCCTTCTCCACAGCTGGCCTGGGAACAGCCACCTGTTCCTCTGAGTTACTGGCAGTGTGGCCAGCTGGCTCTGAGGCTGTGGTCAGCATGGTGAGCACTGGGGCTGGGCTCTGCACCGACCCACAGGCCGCCCGGGGAAGGCTCCCCTGTAAGATGAACTGGACCATGGGCTGGCTGACAGGAGCGTAGGGTGGGAGGCTTGAGGGCAGAACCGAGGTGGGAGGCAAGCTAGGGCTATAAACCTGGGAAAGAACACAGCCACTGAGTGCCAGCCCAAAGCACAAGGGCCCTGGCAAAGTGGTGTGGCACCATGGCCCCAGCCCAGCCCATGTGGCCTGGGCTCAAGGCCACATCCCTCCAGTCTAGGCACCCACCTGAGAGGGGTCAGCATCTGGGAAGCCAGGTTCTGGATGTACAAAACTGGGTGGTGGGGTCTCGGAGAAGGCAGCATGCTGGAATGCCAGTGTGGAGCCCATACCCTCTGTTTCCCAGATCACTTCCCGGGGGCTCTGCAGCCTGTGAAGTGGCGTGCCTGAGGGCCAACACAGGGGAAGTGGGTGCTGTGGCCACCCCAAGCCAGAAGACTGCTTTCTGGCTAGAAAATTCCAGAAGAGCATCCCAGCAGCAAGGCTCACAGACCAGGGGTCACCTCCCTGTGCCACAGCCTGACCACTGGCATGCTGCCCAGGGAGACCCTTGCCGCCCTGGCAGCCCCAGGAGTGCCCACAGGGGTGCTGCACTCACGCAGACCTCTGTCCCCCGAAGGCGCGCTGTGCTCCGCATCCTGGAGGTTCCAGGTGACTCTTTTCACCAACGCTTTAGCCCGCAGCAGGGGTGGTGGGGAGGGGTCACCTTCCCTCTCCGGGGGCACCCCATCTATAGCCTGGGCTCCCAGGACGCCAGGCCTCATGGCCTGCTGGAGTGAGGGCTCCTCACAGGGGCCCTCTGCCTGGGGTGGGGGCTGCGTAGCGTTTTCCTGGTGGCTCAGTGGTGCCTCCTGCCTGATGGTGGCCTCAGCCAGGTCAGGATCCTGCTGCTGGCCCGCAGTGGGCAGAATGGGGGTGGGTAGGCAGTCTCGCTCCGGTGAGGAGTCCGTGCTCTCTGGGGAGGGTGGGGAGCTCATGTCCTCAAGCTGCATGAAGACGGCGTCACCCAGGAAGTCCTCAAAGATGTGCCCTGCCTCACTGTAGTCACCATCCTCGCCAGCATCCAGGTCCCCAGGCAGACATGTGGCTGGCACCTCTAGGACCGCCTGCTCAGTCATGGCCCCGGCTGACGAGGCACTGGCCCCTGCTGAGGCTGATGGCTCCGGGTCTCGCCTCAGCTCCTCTGGAGGTGGGGGTGCCACACTCCTCTCTGGAGTCTGGGACTGGGGCTGTGGCTGCTTCTCCCGGGAGTGGGGCCGCTGGTGTTCCCGGGGCCTATGCTCCATGCTCGGTGACCGGGACCTGTGCTTCCTTGACTCATGGGAGCCCCGCCGGTCTCGAGGCCGCTCAGGGCTCCTCCCCCTTGGGTGCCAGTGCCTGCGTGCCCGCTCCAGGCTGCTGGGGGGTGAGCACTCCCGATCCCAAGGCCTGGATCCCGACCACCTTTGCTTCCGCCTCCTGCTCCCACGGGTCTCATGGGAGGAGCTGCCGGAGCTGCATGAGCGGGACCGGGACCCCCGCCAGCCTCGGCCCCGAGAGCCCCTCTCCCTCCTCCTGTCCCCATCCTTGGCCTTCTTCCGCCTGGCCCGCTCGTGGCCACTGGAGTGGTCGCTAGAGGACCTCCGGCTCCTGGCCTTGAGCCGCTGCCTCTTGGAGTGGTCCTCTCCTGCCGGCGGTGACATGGACTGTGAGGTCCTGTCCCCGGAGCGGGAGCTGGAGCGGGTCCTCCTGTGCTCCCTGGCAGCAGCCCGCTTCCTCTTGTCTGTCTTCCCGCCACGGGAGCTGGATGTTGAGTGCAAGCAGGGCGAGGACTGCAGCTCCACGATGCGGTGGGTGGCCGGTGGTGGAGTGCCTGGCTCAGCCATGGTCACACAGGTCACCGTCCGTTCCTCTGAGCCAAAGAAAGTGTTGCAGGGCAGCTGGTCCTTGTCCTCCCAGGGATCTGGCGGAGACGGCCTCTGCACCAAGACAGCTGGTCCTTGGCCCATGATGGCCCCCCCAGGCTCAGTGTCAGAGACCCCCTCAGTGGGCCTCTTGCCCCGGAGCTTGAGCATGCTGGAGGGAGGTGCCCGAGAGAGCTCAGGCTCCATCCCAAAGCCAGTTTCCACTGTGTAGGAGGTGACACAGCGCACAGCCTGCAGCACTGGGGCCTTTGGGCTGTCGACAGAGATGGTGCGAGTGATCTCAGAGGGCAGGGGACTGGGGCCCAGATGCTCTGGGCTGCTGCCAGCAGAGCTGGAGTCGGAACCCGTGGGCTCAAAGGGGTCATAGATCTCACTCTTGAGCTGCTTTGCCTTCCTGATGGAGAAGAGGGGTGGGGGGTTCTCCTTCCTTTGCACCTTAGCGTCCACAGGCCGAAACGTGTTACAGAAGCCAGGGTTGGAGATCTTACTGGAAGGGGCTGTGTTCCCGGGAATGTTGATCCGGAAGCTCTCGAAGGTCGAGCTAACGCCCTTCCCCCTAGAGGGCCCGGGCGTGGCTGTGGACTGGGTGCCGCCCGCCCCATGCATGCCAGGCTCCTGCGGGCCCCTACTGCTGGGCTCACCCTGTGCCTGGGTGCTGCAGCCGGGCTGCCCGGGCCCCTCCCTGCCCGTCAACCGGCTGATGCAGGAGCTGGGAATGTCGACACACTGCCCGCAGGTGGGGGCTGTGCCTGCTGGGGCATTGCTGCCATCCCATCTGACCTTTGGTATCCTGGGGAGCTCAGAGATGGTCCTCCTGGGAGCCGGTCCCGGGGTCTGCCCTTGCACAGCACTCTTCAGTGGGGCGTCACAGAGGCCAGCTGAAGTCCGGGACAAAGCCAATCTAAGAGGTGGAGCATGCTTGTTGTCGCCAGTAAATTGGGGCTTGTCACTTAGTTTTAAGCCAGGCTTGCTCACGTCTGGTGTGTTCTGAGACTGCCCTGACTGAGGGGTCACGGAGGAATCCAGCTGCACAGTCACCCCCGCTGGGAGCCTGGGAACGCAGGAGTGGGTGGCCTGGCATCCTGGCCCCCAGCTCTGCAACCTGCCTCCTGGGTGCTGTGCTCTGAGCTGCAGGCGGTCCCCGCACCCAGGGCCTTCTCCCACTCTGGACGGACAGGCAGCCCCTCGCTGGATAGAAACAGGTGCTACAAGACAGAGGCAAACACAATCAGCCCCGCACTCCTCCTTTAAAGAGCTCAACGACCGCTAACCCTCACCAAAATGGCTCTTTCAAAAAGCACGTTTGAAATTCTCCGTTTTTCCCTGGAGTTAGACGCACTCCCCCTCAGGCAAGGCTTCGGGTTGGTCAAGGGGTTGGAGGAGCTTTCCTTTCTGCTGTGTAGTCACACACCTTGGCGTGTGACTCTGTGACACCCCTGGTTCAGCAGAGACTGTACTGGCACAGACTGCCCTGTCCATCCCTGAAAACCTGCCAGGGCCCAGATTTGTGGGAAGACTGGTTCCTGTGGCTCTGAGGACACATACCAGCCATGTTATGGCTGCACAGGGTCTGTGGCCTGGTGGAAGCTCTACCATCGTCTTAATCAGCAGCAAAGCTAATGCCTAACATTGCACCTCAACACCCACCCGCCACCCAGAGGAATGTGGACCAGAGGCCGCACAACTGCTTCTTGAGGAAAACGTGTTTCAATTCCTCTGAGTGCAGAGGCAGGGAGGGCATCCCCGAGGGCACTCTGCTGGCAGACAGGGCACCACAGCCTCACCGGCCCTCCGGGCGCTGAGGGAGCCGTCGCGGTGAATGGTGATGCTGGCACTGTCCATCAGCAGCAAGCTCTGGCCCGACAGGATGCTCCCCAAAAGGTCAGGCTCGGGCGCCGTGGCAGGCACACTCCTCCTGTGAGCACAGACCCGGCAGGCGCTGCTGTCACCACACCCCACAGCCCCTTGCATCCTGGCTGCCATGCTGAATCCCTGAAGGGAAGGAGTGAGGCCCACCCAGCAGCTCTATAGTAGCAACAGTGGGGGTGTAATCACCTGATCTTCCAACCCCAGCTGCCACCAAAAGGCAAGAGCTGGCAGACGGACATCAGTACAGGTTTTAAAGGTGTCAGAAGATCCAGTCAGATAGGGATGGCCTGTGCCAGACAGTAGCTTGTTTCCCTGCCTGGTGCCTCCCCTGGGGGTGGGCTCTGTGGCAGAGGTGGGCATGCAAAGCTGGAGCTATTCACGCCAGCTCACGCCAGGCAGACTGGCACTTTATCATTGGAGGGCCAAGGGCAGGGCCCACCAAGACAGGTCTCCATGCTTGGGTGGCAGCAGAACAGTAGGCCTATATGGAACCTGGCTGGCTGGTCCCTGCAAGCCTGTGGCCCCATCACCGACCCCAGAACCACTGTCCCCCTGTCCCAGGACATACCTGGGGGGCCCCATGGAAACAGGCCTAGCCACGGGCTGGTGAGAACGCAGTGCTGAGCGGGACAGAATCCTCCGCTTGGTACTCAGAGGGGAAGCAGGGTTTGCAGACAGCTCTTCACTGCTGGAGGGAGGACACAGGCCAAGGGGGTGGGTGACCCCACACCAAAACCCAGGGAGACACCCCTGGCCTCCTCAGTGGTGTCTAGCAGGCGGGCTAAGCACTGCTCATACTCCTGACCATACTGCACACAGGGCCCACACAGCAGCTTCGTGTTGGCAGCTGCCTGGCCTGGGCAGGGGTCGGGTGGGGGCACACATGCATGGTACAGTTGCCTATACACCACCTAAGAGCATGAGGATGACCCTGAGCAAGGAATAGTTACCCTCTTGTCTGAGGCTTAGCCACACCCACCAGGGGGGAGGGTACTGGGTCCACACTAAGAAGAAATGCCTGCGATAGTACCATGTGGACCATACTCCCTGAAGGTACCTGTCAAAGGGGTCCAGCTCATATGGGTCTCCAAACAGAGACAGAGAGGCTGCTCCGATGTCTGCACGCATCAACCCCAGGGAGGGGTCTGCTGGCTTGTACACTGATGGGATGCAGGCTCCACGGGCTGGCCTCCGGAGGCCCAGTGTCCGCGCAATGCGAGAACGAGCCGTGACTTCTTTCTGAACCGAGTAACAAAGAAAAACTGATCAAATAAGATTGAAACCTAAAAGTTCTAGAAATGCCATTTCAAATATCAGTTAGCAACATCAAACACCAGGCTAAGTAAATGCTGAACTAAAGCCAGAAGTCTCTGTGTGTATTAATCATAATGTCTTAAGAGGTTTTACTTAACCGCAGAATTAGTAAGTGTGTCCCAAACATCTCCGGCCCGCAAGCTCACAAGCCTGCCGCAGGGCCTTACATGTTGCAGTTATCAGGTATGTGTTTTGAGCAAAAATTTACAAAGAGGAAACTAAACCATCCAACTGGCGAGTGACATGACAGCTGTGTCTGAAAAACTTCTGGAGGGGCCGGGAGGGGACAGCAGCCACCTGCGGCTTGGACTCGGGCCCAGAACACAGAGCCAGGCGCAGTCGAGGGTGTGAAGGGAAGAGCCAAGGGCTATGGCGCAGAAACAGCAGCAAGGAAAGGTCCCCACCGACGCCCACCTGTGGTCACAGCTTTAGCGCCTACTCACTTGAGGAATTTCATTTGAATGAACTAAACCACGTGCAAATATTCCATTTAAAACTAAAAACCATTTTTCTATACTAGGTGAACTCACATTAATTAGGCACAGTAATGATCTTGGGCGCAAATTCACGTTTGGAGGCAGCACTCTTGAGTGGCAGCTGCTACCCAGCTTTGTGTTTCACATTACATGTCTTCAATGCCCGGCCCCAGCAGGAGAGAGGACACAGCACTTCAGAAAAGGCCCCACGGAGGCACAGGCGCCTCTGACAAATGGGCCAGCCTCAAGTGGACCGTGTCCCCAAGCTGCCTGAGGAGACTTGGACAGGACATGACAGCCCTGCTCACACCCAGACCACTTGCCAGGGAGACACTCTGTAGCTGGCATTTCTCTCAATTGACCTGCTGGCTCACTCCCGGCCCGCTAGCAAACAACTCACCTCCCTGACCGGCTGGAGGCCACAGCCAGGCTGCAGAAACAACCAGGCCTGCAGCCCCTTTGTACCCCCAGGGCCACCCCTTGGGTTCCAGGAGTTACACACAACCCCTCAGGAGGTCCAGCTCCAAAGGACCATGGAAAACACGTTGCCTCAGTCCCACCTTCAAGCTATGCTGTAGAAATGGTCATTTTTATCATCGACTCTCCAGGCAAATACAGAAAAGAGGCCGTTTGTGTGGCTCCCACAACCCACCCACAAAAAGGAATGAACATGGCACACATGGCCCGGCAGATACCTTTTTCTTCTTCCCCTCTCTCCTCTTCCCACGGCCCTGGCGCCTCCGAGGCCTCGCCCGGGTGCTCTTGCTCTTCACGGATGACTTGGGCTGCGCTTGCTTTCTTCCCAAAGTTTTCTTCCGCCTTCCTACAAAGAGGACATTGAGTCTAGGTCTCATGGTGTGCCAAGGCCTCTGAGGACAAGCCGTACCTGCAGGACCTGGAGTGCGGACCACCAGCTGTACAAGATAAACCATAACTATAAAAATAATGCCCCTCCTGGAGGAAAGAGAGGGAAGGCAGCACAGGGCAAGGCAGAGTGTAACTCTGGAGTCTTTGATTTGTAGATCTGACTTTCAGAACCAATAAATACCCTCCATGACTATGAAAAACAAGATCAAGTTTGAAAGGAGCCTTGATGATCAACAGTAAAATGAAGCCTATGACCCCAGCTCTGCACTACTTGGTGGTCTAGCCACAGAGAAGAACCCCTCCAAGAGACCCAAAAACAGTAACTTCACTGTCCATCTCCAGTGAAACCCAGGGAGGAAGCTGCAAAACCACTCGGCGTTCAGTCCAAGGCAGTCATCTGTGAGGTGCTGCCATGGGCTAAGTGGGGACAGGCACCCTGATTCTCTGATGTTCCAGCATCCCCTGGAACCTCAGCATGGGAGAAAGGGAATTCCAAGGTGGAGAGACGGGATTGAGGTATGCTGCCAATATGTCCAGTGTGTCTGCATCCGCGAGCTTGGAATGATGCCACAGTCCTAACTGGTAGCTGTACTGAACTAGGAACTCATGTGAACACCACGGTGCTAGTCCACTCCAACCACACACACCACAGGCCCCTCAGGGAGGCCAGGGCCTGATGGCTCAGATCCCAACAGGGAGGCCAACAGAGCCCACTCCTCTCACAGAAGGCACGCCCTCCCTCAGGCACACACAGACCCAAAACCTGGAGGCAGGGACTGGTCAGCTGGCCGGGCTGGGGCTCCGGCATCCCTCTACAACCACGGGAGCGGGGGACACACAGGCACAGCCCCCAGACAACATGGAACTTACCTGGCTCTGAATTCAAAAAAGCCATTTTTAAAAATTCTATCACATTTATAACACAATTAGAATCTTCCACACTGAATGGCTATTTCTAGGAGTTAAGGAATTCTGTTCATTTTTTTGGGGTACCAGTGGTATTGTGGAAAAGACTCCCTTGTTTATGAACATACTGCAAAATATTTATGGATAAAACAATGATGCCGTGAAGGATTTGCTTCAGAATAATGTGGGAGGGAAGCAGGGGTGGGGCAGAGGCAAGGCAGCCCGGCAAGGAGTGGCCCCAGCCAGGGGAGAGGGCCACCACCTGTGTCCCCCACCCTTCCACAGGTTTGACGTAAGTCTGTGGAAGAAAGAGTAAAAAATGCACTAGAAAAGCAAAAAAGAGGGGGGGGAGAGGAAACAAAGAGGCATAACCAAAGCCACGAGCGCTATTCTCAGTCACCTGACCTCAGGTACAGGGACAAAGCATGACCCTTCTGTCCTCTACACATCATGGGGACAAAGACAGCTCTCTGGGCAACGATGACAAGGGTACACATGTTGTTATGTAAACGTGGCATTTCCACATGTGGAAAAGGAGACATAGGTGTCAGACACAAGAGCAAAAACCATCATCCTGAACCTGACCCTCAAATCACATGCCCTTAGGATGCATTTCCTAGCTCTGTCCCCTATGAGAGTTCAAAACCCATGCCAGCAGCCAGCAGAGACTCTCGGGTCCCAGATCTGGTCTGAATCCCATGCTCCCCAAGGACCAGTTCTTCCCAAGAGGGTCCAAGGCCACAGCAGGCCTGTCACACATCTTCAACTCTGCACATCCCACTGCAACAGCCATGCCAGCACTGACAGGGACATGCAGAGCTCAGCAGACATGTCCCCCAGCCCCCAGCCCACGAGACCCAGTGCCAGGGCACAGAGGACAAGCTCCTGACTATTCTGAGTGGGTGAGAATGCAGAGCAGCCCCTGTACCCTTACGTTGCTGTGGGGCATGAAATGGCACGTGTCTTAAACACATATTCCCTGTGACTCAGCTCGTCTGCCCCCATCTACCCAAGACATGAAAACATCTGCCTGGGAGGGACTTGCATGAGAATGCTCACCACGCCCATCACAATAACGCCAAACAGCATAGGTCAGGCCAGGGAGCTGGGAAGCAGAAGGGGTGCACTGCAATGGAACATTCTCAACATGAGACAGAACAGACCATACGTGACCGCTTGGACCGGAATCAATGCCACTGAGCTGAGCGACAAGCTAGGGCACACTCAGGGTGTCAAGTCACACCCTTTGAAGTTCGAGGACAGGTAACACGCATATAGTGATGAGGTCAGCCGGCCACCTGGTGGCGCTGTAGCACTGCCCGGGAAGGGCAGGACTGGGTGGGGCGCAGTTAGCCATTGAGCCTGGAACACCATGAGTGGATGCGCACACACGTGGTACACGCATCTCAGTAAAGGAGACTATCAATAAAGACTGCAGATTATAGCCCCTGAATGAAATAGGCACCCTGAGTCCACAAGGACTCCATGAACATCAGCTCCTCCCTACAGCAGTGCTCCCGCGGCAGAGAGGAAGCCAGCACCATGTGCAGCGGGAGGAAGCTGGTGGGGAGCACCTATCAGTCACCAGGGAAAAGGGAAGCTCCTGGGATGCAGTGACTCAAACTAGCCTGGGAGGGGACTGGCAGGCCTGCCCAGAGAGACCAGCTAGCACTCCACCCCCCACTGGGAGTCAGCCAGGTCTTCAACTGTCCACTGGGAGAAGCAGCCACCCGTTTTTCCAGATCCCCCAAGTGCAGCAGAATGGGGGTGTCACGTTGCCCCAGTGTACATGGAGAGGGTGACCGCGTGAATCCGGGGTATGTTCAGGAAGAAACCAGACCCAGACCCAGACCCACCTGGCCTGAAGGGGCTCCCCTGTGGCATTTTGGGCCCTGAGAAAATCAGGCTGCAGAAACTGAAGGGGCGTCAGTGCGGTGCAGGGCAAAGCTGCCACTGGGGGCCAGCACCCATCTGCTGCTGTCAGGGACACACCCCAGCACTCAGCCAGCACCACCACACCCAGGCTGACCTGTTTTCCTCTTCCGTTTGGTGGGGGCTCGAGGCGTCAAGGGGCGCTGATACACAGCAGTGCTCAGGCCAGTGGCCACAGCCTCAATGGTCTCGTCCAGCAGCGAAGATAAGAGGTACCTTGGGACCTGCTACACAGCACAGGCGGCTGGAGGTCAGAGGGTGGTTGTACCACCACAGCCCCTCCATGGAGCCCCATACACACCCCACCCGCCCAGCAAAGCCCAGAAGCTGGATGCCCTGAGCCTGGCAGCAGTAGGCCCAGCTGGCTTCACCTTCACGCCTCCAGCAGACAGACTGTAGGAGTTTCCCACAAGCACCACAAGACGGCTCAAGGGAGTGAGGTCTGGACAGCGGCCTGAACAGCAAGGTCAGGGCAAGCCCAGGACAACTATGTGGGTGCAAAGCAGAGCTGCACTGCAGAGGGGGTGGCAGAAACAGGCCATGGGGACGCTGGGTGTAGGCGTGAGTTCAGGAGGGACCCTAGGGTCTGCTCTGAGAAACGGGGTCTGGGGCTGGTGTCTGTGACGGGGCTTGGAGCCAGCTTCCCATTCAGCATTACACTGCCCCTGCTTCAATGCAGCCATAAGGAGAGGATGAAAGCAAGACCCACAGGCACAGCTAACCCGAGGCTGGGCAGCAGCTCTGGGCACTGTGGCCTGGAAGGCAAGAAGCTGCCCCGCAGCCCTGGGCCCTGCAAGCGGCCTGGATGCAGGGCCCCGCTGCCCTC